GTGTAATACACTTCATGGTTGAGTTTAAGTGACTTTCTGTATGCTTTTAATTGCAATCTTTTAAAGATGTACAGCGGCATCAGCACTGTAGAAATAATGCTGTTTGGCACCACTTTAAATGCTCAATGCAATGGAATTCTGGGATTTGTAGTTTTGTGAGATATTTAACCTCTGTCAGAGAGCTGTGGTGGCACAGCAAACTACAAATCACTGGATTCTGTAGGATGGAACCATGGCAACTACAGAGGTGTCAAACTGCATTAATTCTGTAGTGTAGATGTTTCTTTGAGTCCCAGACTTGGAAAAAAGTTGGGATTTAAGTTAAGTGAGGAAGAGGAGGAAAAAGAAGAAAAGAAGTGCCCTGTGTGCCTGATTAGGTTAATCCTAGTAGTTGATCCATTGGATCAATTATTAAATGGTGTGTCAAGACATAGGTAAATCATACTTATGCAATGGCTCTATTCTCGGTGTACAATCCTACATGACTCAGTCTTCTGCTCTGAGGGTGTTGATGGAAATCTCCTTCAAGGCCAGTTCTCTCATTTTTATGGTTCTTCATTGTTAAACCACTTGGTCCAGAGTGGCTTCAAATACAACCCAAATTAGCTGGTTGTTTATTTGTTGTTGTAGTAGTTATGTACCTCCAAGTTTATTCCTATATGTGGTAACTCTAATCAGGAGTTTCTTTTTTATTATTATTATTATAACAAAAATGAAAGTACAAAATTTAACACATACTATTCCAAATAGATACATAGCTATAAAGATTACCCTGTCTAGAATTATATAGCTTATACAGTTCAAAATTATAATGTATAAAGCTGATAGTTTCTAATTAATAACCAAGACATATCAGGTTTGAAGGTCGTTATCCTTAATTTATATCCAAGTACCACTTCTGCATATATCAGTGTCTATTACATTGTTAGAGCAAGTAAACATTTTAATTACAGCCGCTAATCCTTTGAAAAAAAATATTGTTATTGATATTATTATTGCCATCATTATTCTTATTTTTATTGATGTCATTTATGTTTCGTTTAACTTTCCCATTTTTCCTCACAATATGAATATAGAGATTTCCACATATTTTCTGTATTATTATACGCATTATCACCTATTACTTCTTTGCGATCATCTAGTTCTGCAATATCTAATAGTTTTTGTAACCAGGTATCGATTGATGGTGCAACCTGAGATTTCCAGTTACTAGCGACTGCAATTCTAGCAAGTGTCACCATATATAAGAGAATCTTCCATTTATAATTTTTATTTATACTATTTAAATCCTGAATCATATTAAGCAAGTATATCTGCGATGTACATTCAAAAGTTATATTAAGTATGTCGCAAATTGCATTATGAATCAGCTTCCAAAATTCATGCATCAAGGTACAAGACCACCACATGTGTAGCCAAGTTCCTGGTTCCTTCTGGTATTTCCAACAGAAATATTTGTTGTTGTTATACATTTTTGCTAATCTAACCGGAGTTAGATACCACCTTGTTTCCATTTTGTAGTAGTTTTCATGAAGCAATTGATTATTAGTAAATTTGTACGTTACCGCTCTCGCCTTAGACCAAGATTCAAGACTTATTTCGGCCTAAATCTTGGGCCCATTTTATCATGTGCTCCTTTACCAATTCATCTTCCAGCTTTTGTTGTAATAATATTCCATATAAGTTAGCAATTTATTTTGGTTTCTTCTTTGTAATTATATTGTCTACTTCATTTGGTGTCAAATTAAAGTTCTGTTGCTTAAGATCACTTTTGAAGCAAGCTTTTAATTGATAATATTGAAACCACGTAAATGTTGGATCTTTAATTTGTATATTACAGAGATCTGTTATTTTTGCACATCCAGTTTGTCTATTTATTGTTATTATATCTTGATATTTCAACCAGTTATGGGAGGTTTTAAATCTGCTTAACATAGCTTCTTCAGGAGAGAGCCAACCTGGGGTACATTGGTAAAAGTCAGCTTTTATCTTTTCCCATACCTTTATAAGAGCTTTCCTAATTATATGATGGTCAAAAGTTTGGTGTACTCTAGCTTTATTATGCCATAGGTGTGCGTGCCACCCGAATCTCAAATCGTGACCTTCTAAAGCCAAAAGTTTATTGTTCCTAAGCTGTACCCACTCTTGAATCCACGTTAATGCACATGTACCAAAATATAGTTTAAGATCAGGTAAGTCGCAGCCCCCGTTTTTTTT